TGTAAAGGGCCCGAGACGTCGGTTTGTTTCAAAAAAACAAATATACGCGAGTTAAATCCGGAAAAATACTCGATAAACCAGTAATATTTTTTCAAAACATTTAAATGAATAGCTTTTGTAACTTTAGTAGAAAAATAGGGTTGATTTGCATAAACATTAGACATGGTTGATGCCTGTACCATATTAGTACAATAATTTTTGGTTTGTTTTCGAGCCTCCGGCTGCAGTTGCCTTGGGTATCGATTAAGGATATCTTGGATGTTTTATTTCATTTCGTTCTTTTCTTTTCTTTTCTTTTGTATTACGTAACGCTTTAGAACACAGGTTGTATTTCAAGTTGAGATATAGTAATTGAATAAGCATAGTTTAACTGTACCCAGCCAAATATTGAACGTACAAAAGTAAGTAACAGCATAATAATGTCTTTTTTCTAACATGCACTAGATAATAATACTTAGAAAACTAAACTACGTATAACGTGTTTTCTTTACATTTCTATAAGAATAATAGTCAGCCAATAATATAGCCCCAATGCTGGGCCACCTCTCACTTGGTCTGTAGTTCCCTTGCGGTGTTGGGACCTTCACACACATCATTAAATTGTTTTGTTTCTTTTTTATTATATAAAATTTAAGTGAGCAATAGAGCTCCATCTCACCTGATGGAAAGTGACGATGTAGCATGCACACTTAAATAATGCCTATTCAGTCTCGTCTTAAAGGGCCAAGTCCTAACTCCATAACCGTTCGCCATATGAATGTGGAAGCGTAACGCTTCTTCTTTCTTCGAATCCTTGGAATATCCACAACAGATGGACTTCTTTGCAGATGTGTGCAGGTTTCCTCTTGATGTTTTCCTCCACCGAAAAGCTCGTGATAAATTCCAAATTAAATTTCGGACATAAATTCCGAAAAACTTAGGAGGTGCAAGCCCTGATTCGAACCCATGATCCTCCGCTTGAGAGACGGCAGGTCAAACCATTACGTATGTCCCATGAATTACATTACTATACAAGCTATAAACATCATACCACGCGGGTACAAGGATCGAAGCAATCGGTTCAACATCATAATCAACCCATCATACCACCCTTTAGTCCGCCATGCTTCACACGTTCCGAAACAATTAGGTTGGTTTCAGAACAGTGCCGATTTATGTGCGGACCGTCCGTCTAGCACCGGAGCGGAGTACCACGTGTGGAGTTAGAACATCGTTTTACAGTGACGCCGATTGCTCCGTACTCCGCAAAAGCCACCCGTGACTGTCTTCCGTGAATTTTCTCTAAATTAAATACTCGATTGAGAGCACTGCGGTGTGTACGCATGCGGATGGTCCACAGGTGGATAGTCCGTACGGACCGTACGCACAGCTGTTAAACCAACCTTACAGTCAAATATAAGTACATTTCATATAGGATGGGCACTATGACATTTCAAAATTTCGCAATGCATGGATGCTATTTTTAATGAACTAATCTCTCCACCAGCTTGCAAAAAGAAATAGTAAATTGCTAGTAACATACCAAAATCAAACAATATTTGTTGGAGTTTTAATTTTTAGTAAAAAAGAGAAACAAAAAATGATAAAGATAAAAATAAATTACCCCAACTACTTGATGCGAAAAGCGGAATATTTTTCCATAGAGATTTAACACCATAGAATCGATAAAGCGAATCGGCCTATTGTGTATCACGCGTCACGAGTTGCATACCTACACGTCGTATGCGCGTCGATTTCTTTTGTTTTGAATTTTGCATAACGTTTTTGGAGTAATCATTCAAATTTCGTTTCGTTGTTGTTGATTTTAAGCTTTGTTGTTGACTTATTGTTTGATTATTGTTGATTTTTTTATTTGTTGCGTAGTTTTTTTAGTAAGTTAATAACATAATAATAGAATCTTTTTTCTTTTGTTTATTACTTGTTTTTAAAATATTGTCCCTAAATCGATTCTCTCTTCGTTATAAATTATCTCGATATTTAAATCGATTTTTTCATTCCATTTCACGTTACCACATACCTAGAAACTTCAAATCTCAAAACGTCGCCATACTCATGCTAGGTGAAATGAACTATAAAGGGATTCGAACCTGCGACTTGCAATTTCAGGCAATCGTTCTCCCAATGGCCTAGCATAGTTTTTCATAAGTAGGTACGTGATAACTGTAAAGGAAAGGAAACTGCAGTATTTTGAACACGGAATGAGAGGCAACATATACCGGATTCTTCAACTAACAATGTATGGGAAAATCTAAGGGAAACGTAGTCGTTGTGAATCGGAGAGACTGGTTCAATTTTACGACTCATTTCCTTTTATGCACTGCAATTAAAAAAAATAAGGATAGCCATGATGGCAACCAACTTCGTAGAGAAGCGGCACGCTTAAAAGAACCATGGACTTTTAAAAGCTTATTTTGACCGATTCGGCGTTGCTTGATAAGTGTGACGCCTCCCTAAAATTGTTTGAAATTTGCAATTTATTGAAGCAAATCATACATATAAGCGGTTACGTGTTAACTACACAATTAAGGCAATAACTAGACATAAATGAATAATTAACAGACGCCATTATTACTAACAAATAACTACTATTTCACGTTACTATCTACACATATACACATTTATAGACAAATTACATACAAAACGTTAACGCAAACTTACATTAAAACAATCCTCCTTTTTGCGCTGGCGGTTAAAAATTCAACCATTTATTAATATGTAAATTCTAAAAGTACAGTCAAATGCAGGAATATATTTTAAAGTAACACTTTTTTATCATACACCTAGTTCATATATATAAGTCAATCTTTAAATACAGTAAGCATTAAAGGAAGTATAACAACTGAGCTAAATCAGAAAACGAAAACTTAAAAAAGGATAATTTAAGGGAAACGACAGACACTGTGCACGCGTTATTACGACGTCTGCAAACTATACTAATTGGCATAGAGAGAATAAGATGCTACGTACAATGCAGTAGTAATATCAGGTGGTTTAGGTAATGTCCTTATCGATAAATAGTACTTATGTGTCACTGCCAAAAATAAACTGACTCTTCTTACTATTTTTTTTATTGGTGTGCAAAACAATTTACATTCAGTGAAATATGATTGAGATACAATTTAAGGGCTTAATCTAGAATGTAGAGTTAATACTTGTATATACAGTGTCATTATGACAAGTGTTAAATGTTTACATAAGAATTTAAAAAAGGGAAAGTGAGATTACAAACACAGATATTAATTTGACAATATGAGAAGACGAGCCGAAGTAATTGAGGAGATTGCTACGATTTTCACAAAGATGTTGTCGAAAACATCATCTGTCGGAGTTTTAATTGTTTAGTGCGTTGCTTTTTGAAAATTAATTGTATAGAAGGATTGACTGTACTGACTCACTCAGTAGTTCAAAAAGTAAAGATTTATTGACAGAAAAATAATAGAAGTATGAAGAGACTAAGTGGAAATGGAATATTGTTTTCATTTGTTACATTAATATTTTTTTTATAAATAATATCAAGTGACGGAAGTAACAAGTCGTGCGCCTGATGGTAAACTACACGCCTGTCCATAACAGTTGCAGTACCACTCAGAGCTTTAAATCGCAAAGGTCTAACCTAACCTAACCTAACCTAACCCGTCAAAACCGGATTGCAGTAATGCTCACATTACTGCTTGTCGGCAGATATAGGTAAGATAATCGAAAATCTTTAACGTTTCCTTTTTACTGACTCTTTCACTGTGAGTTCATTGAAAACTGAACTAATACATCACTATTATTATTGATACAAAGATTGAACAAACACAAAGACAAATTTCTTGACTGGACTGTAGGTCCGGTTTGGCAAACAGACGCTGGTTCGTGTCCATACGAGTTAGTAGCAGAAGTACTGCCAGCTTACCTATTTCTGCTGCCAAGCAGTAATGTGACCATTATTGCGTTCCGATTTTGACAGGTAAAGGTGCTGGTGAAAATACGGGCACATGAAACTTGTCAATTTACGTCTCAGGGTGACAGGCGCAGTGGCAGTGCCCTTCAGACCTTTGCGATTTAACGCTCCATCACATGATAGTATAAAAAAGTAGGATCGAAAGAATGTTCTTTATGTATGTTCGATCTTTGTATTATTCGCAAAAACTATTATAAATAAATAAATGTTACATCACTATTTTGAAGTTTTTTTTTTAACAAACACACCAATTAACTACCTGATGTCAAATAGGGAATGCCGTGTACTTTTAGTATAAGAACAATGGCATCCTCTGGGTGTATTTCCTAAATTATTTGTACCGAAAATCGAGAGCAAACCGGCCATCGTCTTCAAAATTCAACAATCATGACACCATTATTTTCAAAACGACATTAGTATCTATCAGTTTGTTATTTTAGTTAAAAATCCGACTACAGAATCTCAATTTTTCAAATTCTACTAAAAGAAATCACGAGTCCGAAAAAAATTTTGAATTAAAAAATTCATATCTACCGATTTGCATCATAGATATTGCAGATCGTGTCAGTTTGTTAACTGAATCGTATTTAAATAAAATAAATGATATTCCTGTTCTAGTGGTTGAGTTTTCTATGTTAATTTGTCATGAGACGCGTATCTAAACATGTTAAATGCCGTATGAGGTTGACAGCGTAACTAAATAAACGCGTGAGATCTGAAATGTTTTTGCAACATTTCCTTACTTATTGCAGCTAATTCTCTATTTTAGCTATTTTTATTAACAATAAAAAGAACTTGCCGGGAATGGTAACATAGTAAGTTACAAAAACTACCACCTTGTAAAATGCAAATTTGAACACTTTCAAGTGGACGTACAATATAATTTTCGAATAAAAATTTTGAATGTACCTGCTGCTGTTTTGGCACGTGTATTTGGCAGTTTTTTTTCTTAATAATTGCGCACTTTGACAATTATATATTGTGTAAAAAGTGTTTTTTAAAGCATTAACCGTAATAATATGCGCTAGATTGTACATGGTATGTAAATACTAACCTTTATGGATGGTGGGGCGGCTTCCGCCCTGCGGGAACAACGAGTAGAGAGGGAACCGGGCGACACCTGTTCAGAAAAAATGCACTCATTTTTATTACTATTATTTACATAATAATTGCACTATTGCAATTATTATTATGCAAAAGGCTTATTATTTATTTAACCGACACTTTTGAATAGCTTCTATATCTTTAGTTAGTCTACTTCTTAAGGCTAACAGTACTTCTAAAGGATTTAAGCCAGTATTTTTTTGTCTTGTCTAACATCGAAAAATGTGCAGGAAAGTCCATTTTTAAACGACTTTAAAAAAAGAGGAGGGTCTCAATTAGACCGTTTTTTTATGTAAGTTACGCGATAACTCCGGCGGCATTTGTGAATCGATTTTGATGACAATTTTTTGTTGGAAAGAGGGTACTCAGCCTTTTAAGGCCCTTTTAAAAACCTCGACAAATTTTTAACGCCTCACGACTAGTCCCTCAAGTCGTGAGTCATAAGACTAAAACTGAAGACTAATTCGAGTCGAAGTATTTTAACCTCAGGAAGCTTTAAAGACTTATAGGACTAAAACGACTGAAACGACTGGCGCCTCATAGCCTCGGAAGTCGCGACTGCCTTATGACGTGATTTTATTTCTACCCACAAGGTATTTATTTTACGATTTTTATTATAAGTAAATAAACGTGGTTATTTACTACATACTCTTACGTCATTTTTATTTATCAACTTCGGGTTTAATCAGACATAAAATAGGTATAAGTCCTTTGCAAACAACTCGAGTCGTTTCAGTCTTTCAAGTCGTTCAAGTCTTTTGAGTCTTTAGTATAACGCGAACCCCCAGTCTTAATTTTAGAGTCGAGTCCTGTAAAATGGAGTAGAGTCGTTATGAAACGCCTTAAAAAACTGAGTCTCTTTCATCACCAGAAGGTCACCTCAGTAGTGGTCCCATTTAAATTTGAAGGAAATATTCCACCTCTAAGAGTGGTAAACTAGGGGACAAGTCCGGCTTCGTGCACTTTTCGATATCAATAAAACTTGGCAAATAGATAATCATCAGTTTTTTTTATAATTAATTACCGCTACATACGATAAACTTTTAAATATTTAACCTTTGTCGACAACATCGCAGTACCTACCTAGCTAAAGAAAAATTCCATTCGGCCGAGTCACCCGCTCGGTTTTTCAGCGTAGTGCGTGCGTTTTTTTAATTCCATTTTTAAAAGGATGATTATGATTATGATGGATAAAAATAAAATAATACTAAAAGGCGGGAAAGCGAATACATTGTGTATATTACGATACACTAATCTCTGTTGTTTTTAATTAAAAAATAAATTTATTTTAATGAGTTCGAGTGCGGGCAATTTAGCCATTGTTTATTTCCAGCTAAAAAAAGAAAAATATAATAGAAAATATACAGTAAGTAAAGTTGAAAATGAAAATGTTATTTTAGCATATTTCAGTGACAAAGCTAATACAGAAGCCAGCCACCTGCAAATTCAAACGATGTTCAAGTGTCCAGTAAAAATAACATGACCAATATAGGAGTACGTAAAATTTATGTTAACTAAATTAAATACTCATTACTTTTGTAAACATATTGGCATTGTTTGAGAAAAACCCTGTTTGCCTGACCTGTAATAAATACAAGGCTCTCAGACGTAACATAGATGTGACTTTTCGATTTGAGTTAGTTTGTAGTTAGTTTCAGTTAGTTCCAAAAACTAGATGAAGTGCAAATTTTTTGTAGTTGTAAAAAAGCTTCCAAAAATATCATACTACTACTAAATATATATCACAACAGGAATAAAAACGCTATTTATGTAAATTTGCCGTTTTCACAAAATGCGACCGAAGTTAAACAACACAGTAATAATTTGTTTTCTTAGTTATTCCGCTTTTTTATATGTAATACTCGTATTTAGCATGCAAGGCAGGGTAACAACTACATTTAAAAATTACTTTCGGGTAATTTAATGCGTCACTAAACGTTAACGTCGTCTGAAAGATTTTAGAACAATGCGTAATAAATGTTTATTCGTGAATGTTGTGACGGGCAAACATTTTACGTAAAAAGTTAAAGTAATTTTATTATTTAAATTTCATCACAAATTTGTTTGTATTATGAGAGAACTATTTTATATTTTTAAGTTAAAAAATGACAATAGTATGAAACTTGTTTACCGGTACGTCATAATAAAAAAAATGACCCGCCCGCGTATAAATAAATTTTGAACGAATTTGTATTTTTTTCTGGTATTACGTTGTGCATTTAAAATATAAGTACCAGGGCAGCATACCTGAGTGTAGGTCAGAGGGCGGGCGACAGCGGGCGCGCCCCGCCGCCCCGCCCCGCATGGCCTGCCCGCGTCCTCACCGCGCCGCCGCCGCCACTCCAAGTCACCTGCGAGAAAATAAGGTTTATAAAATTCATCCACGTAAATTTGCTTTTAAAAACGTACATAGACGAATAAGGCAGCCGAATAACTGAAAACTTCTTAAACCGTGGTTTATTCTAAGTATCCAAATTTCAGTTCCTTCTAAGTATCCAGATTTTCAATTAAATCACCAAATATATATTTTAAAGGCTTATTCCGTATGTAAATGACACACACATAGGTCTACAATTAAACATTAGGTATATGAAAATTTTCGAAAACGAATGATAACGACCTACGTACGTAAATGCAAATATTTTGCGAAATTAACCTTTTCCATTTTTTGCGAATAAACTATGTAGTTATTTCTTTTTTTTTCATGATGTATTGTGTTATTGCGTGCAACTCTTAGAATATTAAATAGAAACACCCCACTGGGCGCGATGTATACGGAACACGCGAAAAGATCTAAAAATTATGTAATTTATATTGTAACAAACACGCCTTTAAGTTCCAACCAATTCCGTCAAGTTCCAACAAACTACTCCATCCAATCTTTTACGGATACGATTTTAAAGACGACAAACAGGTAGCGCAATACGCTAAGTACCAGGGGCTCAGAGTTGTGGAAGAGGCGAATTATTCCCAATAGATTTAGCTAGCTTAGCAACGCCAACGGTTCTTGGTGTCAAAAGAGCGTGAGTCGCAACTCACAAGTCGAGTGCCGTTTATAACTCAACCTCTTAAAGAATCTATACGCCTGGTATTTCGAATCGCCACTCACTTTCAAATCGAGTAAAACGAACGTCATGGTAGGCAACCGTGCTGTTTGAAAAAGTTGAGTGTTGCGAGAAATTTATGTGAGAAAAACTGATTAGTTAACTCAGTTTAAAAAAAATATGATTGCAATAAAAATTGCAGGATAGTTGTTACCTGATTTTATAAAGTCGACCAAAGTTGTATTAATAAAATTAATATACCGTTACTGTTTACACAATTATTATGTCCTGATATGATCCTGATAGATAAGATACTCAGAATTATTCTGCCCATTTCGTACTGGGTTCTTTACCACTCGCCTGGGTAGCTGGGTGGTTGGTGAAATAACCTTTTTTGTAGCGAGCTAAGATCATCATCACGAAAGCAACTACATATGTAAATACTCCATGTTTCTTAGCTAAAGAAGTAGGAGTCACACCAAAATAACCTGCGTTCAGGTACAGTTCTCTAGGCATTTCGAAGTCAAAATATTAGTTTGATGATTTTGGGATGGATCAATAAAGTACCTACTATAATGTCATCAACAGTGATACAAAGTAAGACACTCGCAGTAGTGCATACATTTTTTTTTAGCTACAGAATGACAAACGACCCATTTAAAACATTATTACTGCGACGATTATTTTTTTTGATATTTTTTATTTTATTTCGTACTCTAGTCACCACAAAACCACTCATGTTTGATAATTTACTTCACTAAAATAAATTAATTTGTATTTTATGGAAGTAGTGTTGGTTTAAACATTATATTGAGCATTACTGCGTTCCGGTTTTGAAGGGTAACGGTGCTTGGTGGTGAAATTACAGACACATGAAGCTTGTCCAACTTATGTTTCAGGGTACGATGGGTGCAATGGCAGCGTCGCACTGCAGCTGGTACAGACAGGCGTTTCGCTTACCACCAGACGCGACTTGTTCGTCTCGTATCATAAAAAAAATTAGAAATAAATGAGATATGTTCTTCAGAATACCGCGTTAAAGAAAATCAAATTCCTATAGTTATTTTTCGTCTTCTAAATCGATCGTATTTCCTTGTTTTTTTTCTGTTTGTTTTGTTTTTAACTCTTAGAAGGTCCCTAAATAAATAAAGAGTAAAAAAATCTGAGTAGGAGTGTTGAATTAAGTAGTGTTAATAAATATGAATTTATTACAAACCAGGTCGAAGAAAAAGTGGAAGGAGACGTGGAGGAAGAAGAGCAAGAATGAATTTTCTAATAGTCTTAAAACTGCCTTAAAAAGTAGGGATTATCTACCCACAAAATTGTAATGGCGTATTGTAACTTATACATACTCCGTCTGTAGAAATTAACATCTCGTTTACCATGTCATTAAAGTAACCAAAATACACAATTTCTACCATAACCGCTATCGAATCTCGCTGCGGGATGTCCCACGTTTCTGTGACCACTTCCTGGCCATCAATCATCGGTTGTCGCTTTACTCTGTCTGTCATCATCAAGCCTAGCATGTTCTACCCAGTTCCATTTTGTTGTTTATTTTCCTTCAATAAACAATATTTCTTTCTATAAATGTACTTGATTACGTTAAGTGCTATGTACACAAGGCACAATGTAACCTTGTACGACCCACTGGACGCATCACTGACGGTTGCGAATTTATGGCCCTGGTCCCCGATATAACACGACATACATTTTTCAACTTATTTCATCTAAATAACTTCGTCTAAGTCTTCCCTTGACTCTCTCTCTCCTTCGATCTTCCCTTCTCAATATAAATATAAGACAACATCATGTAAGTTCTAACTAAAGCACTTGTGTTATGGAAATTGGAAACAACGATGGTACCACAAACATTAGACGCGAGACAATATAGAAAACTCGGTATCTTAGAGATGATGACACCATGAAAACCAGTGTGACACGGAGGTCGTCTAATGTTACAAACATTAGAAGATTTTCGTGTCGTATCAGACGCACAAACATCAAATTATTTGGTCCCAATATTATTTATTATTCATTATCGCTCGTCTTCGTCCACACGTGCCTTCCATTTTTTCATCGACCTGGTTTGTAATAAATTAATATTTAACACTATTTAATTCAACATTCCTTCTCATATTTAAAAACAAAACAAACGAAAGACGAAAATAAATACGATAGAGTCACAAGACCAAAAAGATAACTACACGAATTAGATTTTTTTAATGGTATCAAGTGAGTAATAAAAAAAGTGAAGATATCTCATTTATTTATAGTTAACCAGAAACCAGAAGAAAGTATAAAATATACAAAGGAGTCCGTAACAGTCCCATTGTGACCAAGAACAGAATCTGATGAGGGGATCCCATGGAAATCGAAAAAAGCCGATAAGCAAAATTTTGAGGTAGATTTTTGTTTCAATGAAAAAGGTACAATTATTTATGATACCCATAAGTGACGGGAGGGACAATGCGTGCGCCTGGTAATCAGCGAAACGCCTGTCCGTACCATTTGCAATGCGGCATTGACACTGCGCTTATCACCCAAAGACGTAAGTTGACAACGCCTGTAATTTCACCAGCACCTTCACCCATCAAAACTGGAATACAGTAATGCTTATTGCATTGCTACTTGGCGACAGAAATAGTGGCTGTACTTAACTCTTTTACAAACAGCTCTATTGCTACTAAATATTATATAAATAAAAATTATTTTCATGAAATTAATTATTTTTAACTAAAAGAACACTGGTAGTAATTGTAAGGGTATACAAATAATAATGGGCACGTTGAAAGTTCCAGGTAGTACCAACTCGACCCATATTATACCAAACAATCATACCAATTACTTGACAACTATGTACTATGATTACCAGTGAAATGAAATTAACTCGTGGGCACTATCCAGAACGATGTAAAACACATATTATTTTGTATGAAATCTTAGCAAAAGAATCCCCGGAGCAAACATTTTTCATGGTTCCGTAGTCAAACATGGATACCTTTACTTTATATAAAATTTAAATTATAATGAATAAAAAAGCCGACCTCAAAACTTCGTATTAAACAGCTATTTGCCAAGTTTTGTTGAAATCGATTACCGGAAAGTGTGCGAAAAGGGATTCATCCTCTAGTTTGCCACCCTTAGAGGTTGAATATTTTCTTCCAATTTAAATGGGAACACTGCCGAGGTACCCTCTTTCCAACAAAAAAAGAATCATCTAAATCGGTTCAGAAAACGACTTAACATACATACAAAAAAAAACCGTGTACTCTAAAAATTCATTCATGGCATCTGGAAGCTAATAACTCGTTGAGGTCAATTTAATGAGTTCAAATACGATAGTTCTACTGTAAGTAGTCGAAGAGTCAGATAGTCTGCAGATTGTCCTGGTTGCAGCATCTAGTTAAGCCTACCAAATTATTGTAAGATCATTGGATTTACATAGTATACCAAATGTCAAATCGATAGGGCAAGTGGAAGTAATTTAATAACTGAGAGCCCTATATTACATTATTTTTTTAACTTTAACAGCAGTAGAGCTCCTTGTGAAAGAGTTCGTCCAGGGAAGTATTGCCACATTACCAATTTCTGCCTTCAAGCATGTGAGCATTACTGCATTCCGGTTTTAAAGGGCAAGAGTGCTGGTAAAATTACAGGCACATGGGACTGGTCAAATTAATGACTCAGGGTGACAGGGTCACAAGGCACGGCACAAAGGAAAGACACGTGAAACATAAGTTACAAAGGACATTTACAAAGGTGAGCTTATCTCTAGAAAAGATCTCTTCCAGCCAACCCTAGCCTAGGTGTAAAATGATGTCTGCGGGACTAAAAAAACTAAAATTTAAATGTGAATATTAAAAAAAAATATATATATATATAATCGGGTTTTCAAGGGTGCTCTTTTGAAGTTTTGGGATTGTTCAGACTCCACATGTTAGAGCTTTTGAAATATTTATTTACTTTTGATATATTTATTTATAGTTTTATTTTGTACATTCAATTTATTATAGACTTTGTATGTATTAATGTATCAACATTACTTAATATATATTATATTCGTATGTACAGTTGATTTATTAAATTTATCTGTGTATTTATTGAGTATAGTATATTTCATTTCTTTACTTATCTATTTTTAGTGCCACCCCAAAAACCAACTTTCCTCTCAGATTTTCAAAGGTTAGTTGGAAGAAATCTCTTTATGGGATAAGCTCGCCTTTGTACACAAATATTTAAATTGTTTCTGAAAATTTGT